GCAGTGCTATCAGTAAATGAAATAAGAAGCACCAAATCGGAAGGTAGGTGAGATCGTTTTTTATCCTTATGAATTACTCAGCAAGGTCCTGTGTACTTAGTTGACATGTGGTGGTGGGGTGAGAGGAATGGGTATACAAGATGTCTTCTTTACATTGTAATTTCATCCTGGTTCAAGGTGTAATTTCATTTTTATTTGCAAAATATCTGAGTCTCTAATTTGCATATATATAAAAACAAGTGATCTATACTTTTGCTCTTGGATTGCTCATGGTGTAGAGGAGACGGAGTGGATAAAAGAGGATACTGCAGTAAATGGCAGAAATATGTAGTGTGTCCAGACAGGCTGCCAGACCAGAAAGGAGTAATGAACAATTTGAGGGTAGTGATTTTGTGTATTTAACTTTATATGCAAAATTGACTGTAAAGTTCTGATATTTAGTTGATAGTGCATACAAATGGAATGAGGGATTAAAATGAACTTGAAAAAATTGTTTTGCAGTTTTACAAAGGGACTTGGAAAAGCAGCAGAAAGATGTTGGTGCAGGAACTGTGTTTGCCAAACACTGTAAGATGAGGTGATTTTTGATGGAGCTTTCTTGTAAGGGGAAAATTTGGGGCAGTGTATGTGCTTACAACAAGATGGGAGAAATACTACCTTTCGTGGTTAAAATGGCTGCAAGTAATGAGGTGAGGTGGTGGTTATAGGTGTGTATGTATGTGCATATTTAAATAAAAAGATAGAGATCCAAACATAAGTATAGTACCTAGAGAGAACATTTGGGAGAGAAACAAATTCCACATAATGGTTCTGCATGGCCTCCAAACTCTCAGTTTCAAACGTTAAACCCTCTGCTACCCTATTTGTATTTTTTTTGCTTACTTTAGTAATTTACCTCTTCCAATAAACCTGCTATCTATTGACCTTTTATAACTACTCCTTGTTTCCTGATCTCTCATGTTAGTCAGAGGTTGAAAGTGCTGCAGGCATGCACTTGCCTTATTTTAAAGGGATTCAGCTCTCGTTGTGATATTTACACATGACCTATGTGAAACTTGTGATGCATTCCAAGGGAAATGTAGACACTTAGAATTATGCATTATTTAAAAAATAATGTTTTTTTTTTCCAGCTGGTTATAGATTGGTGTTCCTTGTATCCTCTTTTTGGTGATATTATAGTTTTAATTATGTACATTTTTCATGAATTTCAGGACACCTTTGAGAAGTGGGTTTGTCTAAAGATCGAATGATAATCACATATTTCTTCCTCTGCAGTCACCAAAACTGTTAAAGCAAAAATATAGGTAATTTCAGCTTTTGCCAGTCAAATAATATCAAGGTAAACTTGAATAGATACAGGTTTTTCACAGGGTTGATGGAAAAAACACAACCTTCTCCCCCTTGATATTCTTTAAGCTCCAGGATGGCAAAGAATTTAATTTGGATTACTTATTTATTTTGGGTAACTATCATGGTTCAAGGCACATGGAGGTCAGTAAATAATGCTAAATAAATTAAGAAAACATTGAAATAGAGGCTTTTTGAGCTCTGGGTGCTTTTGTTAAGACCCTCTCATCCTGAATGATCCCAAGAAAGAAGATGTAATTAAAATGTATTACCCACTTTTCTCTAAGAGGTCATCAGTACTAATCTTGTGTTTTACACTTCTTCATCTTCTTCCTCCAAGATTTCATGTCTCTAAGATCATCCACCTATATTCAGACTGTCATCCTCAGAGGGCTGTATTATCTCTTTTCCCATCTACAAACATCAACTCTGCCCTCTCAAACTCATGAAAATTCATCAGCAGGAGCCTCTATATTCTCAGTTTCTTTTCTGTGTGTTTGCAGTAATATATTGCAAAACTCAAACCTTGTCTATATCTCAAGTACACAATGTGTACACTAGAGTACTTGGTGGAGGTGGTTGGGTTTTCTCCATACTCTGTTCCACAGGGCTTGGGAGCAAAAGTATAGGTCACTTATATTTATAAATATGCAAATTAGAGGCTCAGATATGTTGCAAATAAAAATACAATTACACCTTGAATCAGAGTGAAATAGCAATATTAAGAAGAATCACACATACCCATTCTTCTCACCCCATTACCACATATCAGCTAAGTGCACAGGACCTTGCTGAGTAATTCATAGCAACTTGTTTCTGTTTAGGTACTCCTTATTTCATTTACTGATAGCACTGCTTTGTAATATTTATGTCATAACGAGAGCCTTTTGAGAGTTATAGTCTACTGTGATGTCACCCATCACTTCCAGTTACAAATAATATGGACGTAGCAACACCAAGGTCAGGTAGATGACCTTGCCTTCATTGCTATTTCTAAACCTCATCTCTTTTCCATCATTCCAACTTTGAAGAACCTTCAAAAAAGCTATGCCTCCCCATTAGTCTTCTGTATTGAAGTCATTTCTTCCTGCCCGGTCACTACTTGATGTTTTTAAGACTTTACCACTTTGGTCACTGTCTTCTCCCTTTATTCATCACATTTGGTGACTTCAACATCCCTGTAAATGATTCATTCAACCCATGGCCTCCTAATTCCTTGACTTGCTTACTCCCAACATTTGGATTTGAAAAGCCAACATTGTTTTATTTTATCCCAGCCTTTTTCATAGTAATACCTTAGACATTGTCATTACCAGCAATTGAATTGCCCCCAATTTTTACAACAAAGCATTAAACTTCATATCTACTCTAGTCTGTCTTTTATTGAATAATCAAGGAAAGGAAATTTATCTTAAAAACAGATGATTTTTTTTTCTGGCTAGATTCAGAGAGATGCAACCAAACAAGAGTCAGGAAGAAGACATACATAGGAGAGATAAATGAGCCTCAAAACAGATTTTTCCCTAGAGTCTGCAAAAAGGCATGAAGCCCTATTAATACCTTGATTGTAGCCTTGCCAGACTCTAAGCAGAGGAACTCTTTGAGCTATACTATTAGAAAAACTTCTTTCTATAGATTAGTGAGATAATTTGTTATTTTGTGCTTCTAAGTTGGTGATAACATGGTATGACAGCAATTCAATAATACAGAAGTTAAATGGATTACTCAACCTTAACATGGCCAATGCAGAATTTATGATATCCCAAACCCTTATACCCTGATCTTTTCCCATTTTTTAACTTACTAAATGACACCATTATTGACACAGTTGTTTAGGCCAAAATTATCAGAGTTACTTCTAGATTATGTGTTTTTCCTAAAACCCAAGATTCTGTATTTCATCAAAGATTTCTGGATATTTTTTCAGCTGTATACTGCCACTGACCACTTTGCTTCATCTCTGTTGATCTTTCCCTAGTCTAAGCCACCTCTTCTCTCATCAGGACTCCTGAAATAGCCACCACTCTTGCCCTTTTTATTTTATTTGAAGTTCTGGGATACATGTGAAGGATGTGCAGGTTTGTTACATAAGTAAATGTGTGCCATGTTGTTTGCTGCATCTATCAACATATCACCTAGGTATTAAGCAGTCTTGCTCTTCTAACAGTTTTTCATCCATAGAGCAGCCAGAGTGATGAATTTTCTTCCTTTAAAGCTACAATGACTTCCCATAACATGTAGAATAAAGTTCAAAATCCAAATCCCTTTATGATGTGTTTTTTCTCTGCCTTCTTCATATCATCTCCTTCCACTCTCCTCTTTTTTGAGTGTGAACCACATTAACTTTTGTTGACTCTTCTGGTACACAAAATTTATTGCTGCTTTAGATCTTTACATGGTTGCCTTGAACACTTTTTCTCTAGATCATTTAGTACCTTGCTTTTTAATATTCTTCAAGTCATTCCTCAAATATCACTTCATCAGAGAGTTTCTCCATTATTATCTTATATAAAACAGTCAGTTTTATATACCACTACTTAGTATCTTCCTATGCATTGTTCATTACTTTTCAAAACACTCTCATGTCTTACATTTTATTGACATGTGTTTACTTTTTAAAAAATATCTCACTAGATATAAGCTCCATGAAGACAGTTACTTTGACTGCCTTCAATATTGCTGTTATTGTGCTACTAAAACTGTCCCTGTATCCTGGTAGGTTCTCAAAAGTGAAAGAGAAGCCTGGGCAATGTAGCAAAACCCCATCTCTGCTAAAATTACAAAAGAATTAACCAGGAGTGGTGGTGTGCATCTGTAGTCCCAGTTAGGAAGCTAAGGTGGAATTTCCTGAGCTCAGGAAGTCATGGCTACAGTGAGTTGTGATTGCATCACTGTACTTCACCCTAGGTGATGGGAGTGAGACCCTTTCCATGGAAAGAAAAAAAAAAAAAAGGAAAGCATTAAACACAAATAAAAATTGTGGGCTTACTTTAGGTGTCTTGAGAAGTTTTAATTTATAAGTGTTTGATGGCACTGTGGGAAGTTAAGTGTCCTGAAGGAAAAAGTCAAACATGGAAAGATAAAACTCTCATGACATTATGAGGCCATTTCCTAAATAGTCATATCATAATACTTCTGATTCAAATATCAACAAATAGATGCAGTAGAAACTTGGAAATCTCAGTGATTAGCTTCTTCTTATTGCTATCTGAAACCATCTCCTATCTCTATCTTAGCTTAGAAAATAATTTTTTCATATCAAATTCCAAGACTTGTCATTCACATCTCAGATATTTAGATTTGCTAGAATGGCATTTCTTCTCTGCAACTATTTATAAGCAGTGATCAGATGGTACTCAGGAATTGTTATAGGGCGAGCTATGGTGAGGGCTAAGATTCTTTCATTTTAGTATCTATTAACATCTTATTTTGGGCTTTGTAATTGTATGATGGGTTGCCATACTGAAGAGGGCATCCTGTTGCCTACTCTTCTAACTTTGTAACTCTAAGCTTCAAGTCCAAGTGTCTTATTGCATTTTTCCTTAATTTACTTTTTGGCCTCATGGGATATGGCCAGGCTCTGGTATCACTAATATTCATTTAGGTGACATAAATGGGGGATAAACTAGTGGCTCTGATAACAGTGGATACTTCATATTGTTGCTCAATTCTTTATTTTTCCCTACTGATATAAAGGTTCATGGGGATTGTTTCACAATTTCTAAGATATTTCTCCCAAAACGCAATGCTTTGGAAATGTTTATTCTCATTCAAAAATGAAAGCCATTTTATCTAAAAGTCTCTTGGAAGTAGTGTTGAAATTCTTATTTTTGGAGAGTAGAAGCAGTGGTTATGAGGGTAGTGGTGCCTTTTGCAGTGGTGGTGGCACCTGTTGCAGTTGTCTGTATTTAGGGTGTAGGATTAGGGAGGTCAGGATCAGTTGGAGAAATTACAGGGGAAAATGGAGGTCCAGGTGGATAGGGTCTTGGTTGGGAAGGTGGCTGTGGATAACCTGGGCCATAAGGGGAAGGAAGAGAGAGTGGTTGAATTCTCCCTGGACCATAGGGTGGAGAAAGGCGTGGTGGAAATCTCCCTGGACCATAGGGTAGAGGAGGAGATGGTGGAAATCTCCCTGGACCATAGGGTAGAGAAGGAGGTGGTGGAATTCTCCCTGGACCATAGAGTAGAGGAGGGGGTGGTGGAATTCTCCATGGACCATAGGGTGGAGGATGGGGTGGTGGAACAAATCCTGGTCCAAACGGAAAAGGTGATGGAGGAGGAGAAGGAGACAGTGGTTCAGGTGGATATGGTCCCCCGAGGCCTCTTTGACTCTCACCAGGCTGTGGAAAAAAGAAGTAAATACTTTTAAATCAGATATTTCGCAGTTAAATATAAGAATGAATGCTTTCTATGATAGGCAGAACTCTGAGATGGCCCCAAGATTTCTACTCTCTGCTGGCACATACTGGCCTGACCTTATCAGATGAGCCCTTTTAAAACAGGTTCTGCAATGTCTGAAGAAATCAGAGAGATTTGAGGCTGCAGCAAATGCTTTTCCCGGCTTTGAATCAAGATGCCGTGTTGTGGGGAGGGCCACGTGGAGGTACATGGTAGACCCGCTACAGGAGCTGAGAGTGGCCCCGGGCTCACAGGCAGCAAAAAAGTAGGGGCGTCAGTCCAACAACCAAGGGACTGAATCCTACCAATGACCATACAAGCTTAAAAAAAGGACACTGAGCTGCAGAAGAAAAAAAAAAATAATACAGCAGTGGACACACCTTTTCAGCCTTGTGAGACTGTGAGCAGAGAAGCCACCTAAGCCAAGCTCAGAGTTATGGCCAAAGAAACTGAGATAATAATGAGTTTTTAAAGGCTACTAATTAGTGGTAATTTGTTATTGAGCAATAGAAAAGTGTTAAATGTATCTAAGTTATGATGTCTGAACGTCTATATCAAAGAAAAATGTTTCTCTTTTGCCTTCTGAATACCTAGGCTCTCAATGAAAGCTGGGATAGTATTGACTTAAAAAAATAGATAATGAACAAAAATCTTATCCTTGGCCTATAGTGAAGTCTGTCATTCCAAATTCCAAATGGAAATAAATGCCTTTGCAGCATGAGAAAAACATGTCTTTTTATGTCTAATTCAAGGGTTCAGGCTTGTTCTGGGCTTTGCACATTAATTAATTGTGAAACACACGTGAGCAACTATTTCGTGCAACGAACTTATGAAGGAGCTGGTTCATTCATGTCATGAATGTCAACCTGGCAAGTTGCCAGGGGTACAAACATCTATTCTATGACTCTACAGGCTGAGTAATTACAATACAAGGAGGGGTAAATGTGATCTGAAGGGAAGTGAAATTAGTGGAATGAGTGTCTGGGGTTTCATGTCAGTGTTTGAGCTCTCCTTCTGGCACATGGAGATAGAGTGAGTGTGGAATTCTTTTTGAGTCTTTTTTTCTCATCAGGAAAATGATGTCCTCCTGCAGTTGTTGTCACATTTGTTGTGAAATATCACTTGTAAAGTGCCTAGGGTGGTGTTTATCTCAGGTCTGGTTTACATAGAGTACAATTTTTGTAAATGAAAATTGCTGAGGCTGGGCGTGGTGGCTCATGCCTGTAATTCCAGCGCTTTGGGAGGCTGAGGTAGGTGGATAGCTTTAGGCCAGCAGTTCAAGACCAACCTGGACAAGACCCCATCTCCATTAAAAATTCAAAAATAACTGAAAAGTAGTGCAAGGAACAAATACATTAGGGATTTAAAGTGATCAGTTCTGGATAGGAAAATGATAGAGGATTGTCTCCGTGGGAAGGAGTCATTTGAAAAGAGGCTTAAAGAATATAAAGTAAGGAGGGAGCATGCCAAATAAAAGGAAAATACGCAAATGCTCTGGGGTAAGAATGAAGTTCCACTCTACTGACGGCAAGAAGTCCAGGTTGCTTGGAGCAGATGTTTTTTTTTGGACACAAAACTACATTCACTTCTTGTGGTTCTCAGTCCCTTCACCTATTTGGCCATTACCCTTGCTAATCCTAAACTTTAGTATTACGGTAAAGCATCTCTGTCCTGGATTCCTAATGCCAGGTCCTTAACAATGCTAGAGGATGTCACCAGCACTGTACCCTCAGAAAGTTAGCATCCTTCAGTGCTGCCTGAAATCCTTTTTTGAGTGTCTTATCTCAGATTATCTCTTCCCACTTCCCCAGAGGCTTGTAATTTTCCAAGTTGATGCCAGTTTTATCAACATTCTCCACCTCATCCTGAGCTCTCATCTACCCCCACCAAAGTGGCTTTTCTCCTGCTTCACCAAGATATTTCAGGCAATTAGAAACGAACTTCCCTGATTTACTGGTCACAGAACCATGGAGTCATTGATAGCTAGATAGTTTCTTTTTCTTTATAATTGTTTTCCAAGGGACCTGGCTCTGTCAGTCTTCTCTTTTACTTTCTGCAGCTGTAATATCTGCCATTTAGCTAGCTCATTTTTTTCAGAAGAACACTATCATTTATGGTCAACTCAATTTTTTTCTCCCTATCCTATCAGCTCTTCATCCCACTTCCTGAATTCTAAATCTAACCACTTCTTATCATCTTTCTTGCTTTCATTCTAATCTGTCATTTACTTTTACCCGAATTTCTATAATGGCCCGTTGATTTGACCTCTTGATTCTAATCTTGCCCCTTTCACCTAACATGTACAGAGAGGTTGAAGACATCATTTGAGAAATAAATATCAATTGATATTTCTCTGTTTATAAAAGATTCGGTTTCAACCACCAGTACCTTGTTGCCGTGACTTCCTTTTCACATCTTTCCTGCAAAGCAAAGCTCTATGAAAGGGTATTCTAAATTTGCCAACCCCACTTCTCACTTCTCATTTGCTCTTAAACCTGGCTTCTGCCCTTAACATGCCAGTAAAAGTTTTATTCATATCACCAGTGAAACAAACAAACAAAAAATTCCAAGGCACTTCTGTGGGACCAGCCTCATGTTCGTCTTCTCTAGCTAGTGATGGTTCATGGTATTATGGAGGGTGTTTGACCCAAGGACTGCCAATCCAAGGACTAGTCAGGGTATGTGGAAGTTCAGGATTTGATTTTTTATTGTCAAGAAAACAAATCCTTAGTATGGAAAATATTTCACACATTTTTATTGTTGAGACAATTAAAAATTAGCTGAAAGGACTTTTTCCTAAAGATATACTGATGTTGATCTAAATATTATGTAATGAAAAATCTTCATAGTAAATATCGATTCTTTTCCTGATCTCTTAACCCAATCACAATGATTAGCTCCCTTTCCACAAATGGCTAAAGTAAAATGATGAAAATACTATACTAGGAAGAAACACTCCCCTCTCAAAGGGTTATAATGAATGTTAATCTCCTACATTATTCAGTTTAGCAATAATCCAGCTAAGACAAGCATACTTTGCATACTTTGAATCTAAACTTATTTGTATTTTAATGAGATTAAAAATAGTGAGGCTTGCTTTGAGGATTTAAAGAGATAATGTATGTAATGCATTTGGAAAATTACTTATAACAGAGAAAACACTCAAAAGTCGACAGGTTGAAAATGATGACTTACCCCACCTACAAATATATATATGCAAAGGACATGCTACCCTTCACATTTCCAATTTTCAGTAATTATTAATCATCATTAGTCATATCAGCTGAAAAAAGGCTCATTGCTATTTAAACTGCTTATATTATTGGAAAGCTCTCTATTTTTTCTAATTTATCTTATTAAAAAGTTATTTGTATAATAAAAGCCTGAATAAAATGTTTTTCTCATATTCTGAGGACATGAAAATATTGAAAATCAAATTTATGATGACGTCATTAAGACATGACCTTTAGTGGATGTCAATACGTTTTATTGGCTTATCAAAAATTATGTCTAGCCATAATGCATGCAAGAACATGGTCAAAGTCAGAAAACTTCAGTCATCTCAGAATGTCCTGCTTTTATTCAAGCTTTTCAAAGTAGAAGAAAGAGGTACTATTTTATGTTTCATGTTTCAGAATGATATAATTTTATGTTGCCTGCTTTGTGGAAGTCATAGTCTTCTAAAAAATCAGCTTTCATATTTTCCCATTTGATATAATAGATTTTTATGGTACTTTGGGAGAAGTTACTCTGGAATTAATATCCTCTTTGTAACACTGGAATTAATTGACCCCTCTGTTGAAATTGAGTATCATTCTATTACTTTTAAAAATATGCATTAAAAAATTCTGAAACACTAGGTTAAGGGCAATGAGCATAGTTTTCCTTAACCTAGTTTTTAATAAATGGTAGGTGTTACCATAAATGTTTATTATTTCCTCAAAATGTAGCATGCAAAGATTCTCCTAAATGCATCTTCCCAGGTCCCATTATGGGGTACTCTTATTCAGGCTTGGATGAGGACTTTAATACTATCTTTTTAATAAGTGAGTTAGGTGACTCCATGTTAGGAACAACTACTTTATCTCATTTTACAGAGTTTTACCTACTGTGTAATTGCTAGAGTATGGAAACATACATTTATATTTATCTGTTTAATGCAGTCTGATATTATAGATTTGAGCTATCCAGTATGGCAGCCATCAGACATATGTGGCTATTTAAATTAAATTAGATTTTAAATTTAGATTTAAGCATTAGAACAGTGTTTCATCAATGCTTAATAGTTACTAATATATAAGAAAAGGTAGCATCATTAATGTAAAAAGAAATCTGAAGTAATGGTTAAGGAGGAAAGTATAAAGATGTGTGATCGTGATTAATGATACTTACTGTGAAACACGCTGCAAGAGCCCAAAGGCCCAAGATCAGAGTCAGTGATTTCATCCTTTCGGTTGCCTCTGAAAGTAAGCACAATAGGTGATCAGTATGATTTTTTTTTAATTAAAAATTACTATTTAAAATGTCTCAACACATGGATGTAATGTAATACAGATATACTACTGTAGCATTTTTAGAAAATTTGCCTAACATGTTGGATTCATTATTACAGTGGGGCAACATTAGTAGGCTTATAAAATTTGACTTCAAAACAGTGGAACTAGTTTTTATTTTTGACTTATAAAGTGATATTGGAGATAATGCCAAAGAGTTGTTCATAAATGATTTGAAGAATAGAAGCTTTTATAAATGAGGTTTTTGCCTTTAGAGGTAACTATGTTGAAATGTACAATTATTTACATTTGAACACTTTTGTATATTTAAATAGCAGGTATATTTTATAGATTTCTATGGGCTTGGGTTTGCAATATTAACATATTAACTAAATCATGTGTTATCAATTTAATTCCTTGGGGTATCTCAAAAATAAGGAAAAGAAATCACTCTGTTTGACATAACGTAAGAAAAAGAGAATCATATTATATACCTCCTAGTTTTAACAACATTCCACTAAATTAATTTAGTCTGTGATGTGTGGTCTCAAAGTGCTTCCAAAAATCCATATATGGTAGATCAAAGACCAAGTCAGAGAACATGGAGGAATCCAGGTATTTTATTCTCCATTGGCTCAAAATTTGCAAAATATTTCAAGTACATGGTAGCTTGAATTCTGGGAAAGCAACTCCATGCACCATTGTACAAATGGCTTCCTGACAGTCAACTCTGTACATAGGTTGAGTGTGTTATCTGAGCAATGCAAGTCTTGAAAGAATCATATGTACAAAATTTCACTGGATACTCAATTGTATGTGGGTGTGGCTATTCCCTTAAGGATTACTTTTTCCATGATCCATTCTTACGAGAAGTTTGAAAAACAAAAGGAAAACTAATAATAAAAGTATACTGTAGAACAATTCCCTCTTTTAGAGTACATCTGAGAATAATCTATCATTATGAAGTTTTAAGAACTTTAAGGAACATCAAGGGGAAAAGTCAATTGTGTACTTGGATGGACTAATTGTCCCCAATGCCCAACATGAATCCTTTACTCTGACATGTGAATAACCTAATTTTTCAAAATTTGATATATTTAATGACTTACAATTTTACATAAGGTGAAGGTGCTTATGTTTTTGGTGGTAATGAATGTCCTATAAAAAGATCATGAGAAGTCTGAGGAAAATTCTGCAGTTAATATTTCCAGGTACATACCTTTGTGTGAGGATCTGTCTTAGAGTTGATTAACCTGCTGGTCAAAATGACTCTTGCCAGTTGAAAGACAGAAAATAAAGGTGAAAAGAGACAAGAAACTTCAGTTCTTATATAGTGCAAAAGATTTCTGTTGGCAGTAAGAGAAAGGATACTTGGAAATAAAATAACTTCTGGGTTGATGCTCTTCAAACAAAGATAGGAAAGTTGTTCTTGCCAATTTGGCAGTCTTATTCTGCATTTTTGGGTCTCATTTCTGAAAAGCATTGACCCATTCAATATTTGTTGTTTCCTGGGGAAACAGATACAACAAATAATGTCCTCTCTCTTCAGGGGAACAATCTGGGGCCTGTGGTGCACCATTTCCTCTTTATTTTAAAGAAAAAGCACCAGCTTTTTCTATGCCAAGCAATTTTAATGGGCCATATTTTGTATTTTCTATTTATTTAATAGGCAATCTTTTGTATTTTCTTTTTTTTTCTTTTCTTTCTTTTTATTTATTTATTTATTTATTTATTTATTTATTATTATTATACTTTAAGTTCTAGGGTACATGTGCATAATGTGCAGGTTTGTTACATATGTATACTTGTGCCATGTTGCTGTGCTGCACCCATCAACTCGTCAGCACCCATCTATAGGAAGTCCCCTTTTGTCAGTGAAGAACTAACTGAGAACAACTGTATTTTAAAAATCATGTGGTCCTTGCCATTATTAACTTGAGAATCCTAATTAAATGAAAATATGATGACATGCAATGACTTAATTATGGGAAAATTATACAGAAATTTTTAGTTTGAAGTGGATGTCTAATGGAAAGTTATAGCCTTGGCTTTTTGATAAATCTAGGCATTGAGAATAATTTTTCCCATGCTGGATGATCTTATAATCTCGCTTTAATACTTTATTATATAATCATAATAACAGCTATTATTTATTAAACCTCTAGTTTATTCCATGTGGCAGGTTAAAATGAATTCTATTATCATCTCAGTTTTATACAGAGATGCTAATTAGCTGAATGGAACTTGACCTTAAGTCAGCCCACTTCAAAGTCTAAGTGATTTTTTTAACCAGTATTCCATATTAGCTCCCTAATCTTAACAATCACCATACACTTAACTAACATTGTGTTATAGTACATTAGAGAGATGAATCAGTGAACTTAATAGTTCATTCTACTTCCAAGCACAGTAACAACACTTCCTTGGTCATATGGTACATCTAGTTCTAGATCCTTGAGGAATCGCCATACTGTTTTCCATAATGGTTGAACTAGTTTACAATCCCACCAACAGTGTAAAAGTGTTCCTATTTCTCCACATCCTCTCCAGCACCTGTTGTTTCCTGACTTTTGAATGATCGCCATTCTAACTGGTGTGAGATGGTATCTCATTGTGGTTTTGATTTGCATTTCTCTGATGGCCAGTGATGACGAGCATTTTTTCATGTGTCTGTTGGCTGTATGAATGTCTTCTTTTGAGAAATGTCTGTTCATATCCTTTGCCCACTTTTGATAGGGTTGTTTGTTTCCTTGTAAATTTGTTGGAGTTCTTTGTAGGTACCCAAAGGATTATAAATTATGCTGCTATAAAGACACATGCACCATTTATTGCAGCACTATTCACAATAGCAAAGACTTGGAATCAACCCAAATGTCCATCAGTGACAGATTGGATGAAGAAAATGTGGCACATATACACCATGGAATACTATGCAGCCATAAAAAAGGATGAGTTTGTGTCCTTTGTAGGGACAGCATGGATGCAGCTGAAACCATCATTCTCAGCAAACTATCACAAGAACAGAAAACCAAACACCGCATGTTCTCACTCATGGCGAACTGAACAATGAGATCACTTGGACTCGGGAAGGGGAACATCACACACCGGGGCCTATCATGAGGAGGGGGGAGGGATTGCATTGGGAGTTATACCTGATGTAAATGACGAATTGATGGGTGCAGCACACCAACATGGCACAAGTATACATATGTAGCAAACCTGCACGTTGTGTACATGTACCCTACAACTTGAAGTTTAATAATAATAAATAAATTTAAAAAAAAACAAAAAAAAACCCAAAAAACAAAAAAACAACACTTCCTTGTTGGGTTATATGAGACAAAATATTTTGCCTTATTGTATCTCAATTTCTTCATTTAAAAATATATATTTAAAATGGTTATATTTATAATTTCTTTTTTTCTTTATTTTATTTATTTATTTATTAATTATTATCCTTTAAGTTCTAGGGTACATGTGCACAACGTGCAGGTTTGTTACATATGTATACTTGTGCCATGTTGGTGTGCTGCACCCATCAATATCAGCACCCATCAACTCATATCATTTAAGTCATGGAGATTAGGACCTTCCTTCTTTCCTTTCTCCTTTCCTGCTTTCCCTCCCTTCCTCCCTCCCTCCCTCCCCTCCCTCCCTGCTTCCCTCCTTCCCTCCCTTCCTTCCTTCCTCCCTTCCTCCCTCCCTTCCTTCCTTCCTTCCTTCCTTCCTTCCTTCCTTCCTTCCTCCTCCCTCCCCCCCCCCCCCCCTCCCTCCCTCCTTCCCTCCTTCCTTCCTTCCTCCCTTCCTCCCTTCCTTCCTTCCTTCCTTCCTTCCTTCCTTCCTTCCTTCCTCCTCCCTCCCTCCTCTCCTTCCCTCCTTCGCCTTCCTCCCTTCCCTCCCTTCCTTTCCTTCCTTCCTTCCTTCCTTCCTTCCTCCTTCCTTCCTCCCTCCCTCCCTGCCTCCTCCTTCCCTCCTTCCTTCCTTCCTCCTCCTCCCTCCCTCCCTCCTTCCCTCCTTCCTCCCTCCTCCCTCCCTCCCTCCCTCCTTCCCTGCTTCCTTCCTTCCTTCCTTCCTTCCTTCCCTTCCTTCCTTCCTCCCTCCCTCCCTCCTCTCTCCTTCTTTTATCTTTCCTACTAACATTTATTAACTATCTGCTGGGCATAGAAAAATTACAAGTTGCTGAAGTTACAGCATATATAAATGCTTAGTGTTTTAAAATTTTTGTGAGTCATAGGTGATGTAGAAATTAAGAAGCCACACTTTCAGAGTTGATCTTGGTTTTAAATGACTGTACTTAATTTCATTACAATGGAGTTTCACTGCCTTTAAAAATTCTGATGACATAATTAAGTGTAATACAATATATTCCTGGTTTGCTAATCTTAGCCCTTAATATGTTGCTGAACGATTACATGGCTAAACATCAGTGAAGATGGTTCTATTCCTAATTAACAGAAAATTTCACTTCTTTCTTTGACAGTAATTCAGTGTGTCAAAAAGATGGACATCTCTTCTCTCTTGTTTGATAACATATCCATCAGCCAAATGTTTAGAATCCAGGTGTGATCTACATTGTAATAGATCACTGGCTCTGAGGACTTACAGTGAATGCTGGCAAAACCAACGGACAATTTCTGAGTGGGTTATGACCAACAAAGAATTTGAGGAATGCAAACAACTATATCTGTGAAGAAACAGGAACAGTCACTCCAGTTAATCTTTAGTTAACCTTGGCTTCAAAAGATCTTGATTGAATACTTACTAGGAGAACAATACCTAAAAAGGAGCTAATGTCTCTACAGTGCAGAAAATTCAAAGTGACAGTAGAGAAAAAATTATTGTTAGTGCAGAGATTTACAACGACAGATGGAAAATATTTTTCCTAATATGAGTAGACTAACAGATTTAAGTTCAGTCATGCAGCAACATATTTAAAGTCTGCTTTCCTATTGTGTTACACTCT